AAGTGGCCATGGGAATACATGCGACGTACGCGCATTTGGTTGGTGGTTTCTTTGGTTGAAGTCACTTAAAAGTTAAACAAATTTGCCATAGAGCTTTCTCCTTCCCACTGCAACTAAACTAAACTAATTGAAATTGATTTATTAACCTCTATTGGGCACCACTTGAGGCAGCAAATAATTAATTGCAACTTTAATTGCCTTAATAATCATTTTCCCTTTAACTGCAGCTTAAACACTTGTAATTAAAACCAAGGAATACGAGTAGCATCATCTCATATCGAATGTCATGTCATCCTGCTTTCAAGCATTATCCTAATTACACACCCACATGTCCACGCCCATCCGTCATCGCATTGAGAAAAAGTCATCGAGAAGTTTCAGTTGAGTGAAATATATGAGAGCAAGTCTGACATAACTGGCAGGAGAGTCAGGAAACTGTCACGGTCTGAAGTTGAAGGCATTTTTCCAGCTGAGGGATTTCGACTCGTCTCGATGCCAGAGCTTCGCTGGCTCCTCTTGTTACCATTCCCTCAGCTGTCAGTTGCTTCCGCTGCTTAAGCAGCCACACATGAAGAGCGGGGCGGCGGGCCAGGACCTTAGTTGGAGCCAGCAATAGAAGGAGCCAGATAGAAGGATGGAGACAGAAATAGAGACGGAGTCGGGAATAGAGCCAAAGACATCAGTGCCATGGGTAGGGCCACAGACTGAGGCACGTCACGTATGTTTTTGTGCCCAAGCATTCGCATAAACATTCCGTCACTGTGCACAGCCGCACACCTAAACTGCCTCCCTGCTGCCATCCAGGACATTGGCATTGACAGGACTCGCGTCGTTTTGTGTTAAATGTCAGCGATGCCTTGGAGAATGGAGAATGGCGAATGGCGAATGGCGATGGCAGGCAGGCAAGACATTCCGCGTTCGCATACGCTGGCTCTGGGGTCACAGCAATTGACCTTACTTCCCCCATTCATCACTGGCCGCACCGTTTCCCATCAAATATTGTTTACCCAAGTGTCTTCAACCATTCCACAGAGGCACATCCATGGATGTTTACAACATTTGCTTATCGATTGAGCGAAGAAAGTATGGCGCGGGTTTTTGGTTACTGAAATAACATTACACAAAAACCACTGGGGAATTGGGATTGTGGGTTAGTTTGCGGGCGGCGCTCTGATCTGTAATTATCCGCTGGAATCAGGGTAAGCCAAGGTCAATCAGGCAGAAAAGGAGCGCAGCCCGAGAACTCCCAAATAATGATGGGAATTACACTTTTTATTCATGGCGCCTGACTCACAGACAAACGACGCCTTCAGCTTCCCTTTTTTTTAATCCTTTGAAGGTGGCTCTAAGTGGGGGGCTTTGGCAGAAAATGAGCAACCAAATAACTGTAAATAAACGGAAAAGGAATGTGACAACATCTTCAATGAGGTTGATAAGAGAATTCTTGCTCGTTTGTTCCCTTCCACTCATTATCGTTTGCTTCTTTTGGCAACAAAATGAAAGAGGACACAAAAATGCCAGTGAACTAATGAAAGACTTGAGCAACATAATAAATAATGACAACTCCATTTCCCGCCCCTCCACTCTTCGCCCACTCCTTTTCGCCAACATTTTTCCCACATTTTTTCCCACAAGCTTTTCTCTCATTACTTTTCTGTCTGTTCGAATACTTACACTTACTTCCAGCAGGACGCGGAAGAGGATGACAATTAGAAAATGGTTTCGGAAAGTCATGAAGTAGCTTCGAAAGTTTGCTTTAACCAAGAAAAATGAGCAGCAGAAAAAGGGGTTTCAAGAGGGTATTGACAGAAAACAAAGGCGTTAAAAAAAACTCCTTAAAGTGAGTGGACGAAAGTCCTTTAACCTGATAAAAAAAAAAAAACTTGAGAGTTGAAAGTTATTTAGAAAGGATTTGATTATGTGCAAGGCGTCGCCTTAAGGCTGAGGCATGTGTCTCAAGGAAGGACAAGTTTAACACCTCATGACTCAATTAATATTTGAAAGTTTCTCTCGAGTTGTCCAAGCTTTCAGCGGCTGCGGGTGAAGGCTATGGAAATGCTGAGAAAGAAACCATACTAACGGAAGCAGAAAAATGAATTAGAAAAGTTTGCAGAATAAATATATAGATTCCAGAGTTAGGAAGGATGGATAAGGAACTTTGCTGCAAACGAGTATAAGGAATGGGCAGTGTGCAGATATTATATAAAAATTGAGAAAAATTCCAACCGTGCTCTTTGACATCTTTTGTTGGCCTCGAAACGCATCACGTTCACGTTCAGAATTTGCACAATAATCCCATAAATTAAGTAAGCAACATCACGTCTCTGATATTTACTCTTTTATCAAATTATAATTGTTCACGATACAAAAAAAAAACGACATGCAGCTGCATTTATTATTCACCTTTTGATAACAACAATTAAAAGGATCCAACCAAAAAAGTCAATACACAGAGCATCCATCAGGATGTAAAGTAATTTGTGTGTTGTTTGTTGTATCAGAAAAAGGCAGCCAGCATTTAATAAATTATTTGAAAACCATGCGGCAAACAAAAAACTAACACGTACGATGACAAAACATGTTGGAAAAACATAAAACACACACACGAAAATGGTTTTAATAACTAAAAAGCAAAACCAAAACAAATAATGCCACGGCTAGAGGGGGTTTGGGAAGTGGAGATAACTTTCCAAAATGGCACAGGATGTTTTCCCTCATATATTTTCCCACATATCATACACACATAAACTCTGGGGAAACTTTTGGATAGCCCACACTCACACATGTAGAACTCTCGGACCGTCCATGGCCATAGCTTTTCCTAGCCATCCCCCCGATGGACACTTAAACTGGTTCCGTTTTAATTGTTGCCGCCATGTTCCGCTCGGAAAATGGTTTCTAAATTAATTAATAGCATTGTCTGTCTTTGGCAATTTGCCACGCCCCCCCGTACTCCCACACACATACACACGCGCACTCAAATAAACTATAAATTGAATTTTCTTATGCGTTAGCAGAAAGTCCCAAAGAATTGCAGACAGAGAGAGATGTGTATGTAGGGTGTCTGTGTGTAGGCGAAGAAAAATTATTTTCTTTGTGGAAAATACGAACCCGTTAAAGCCAGAGCACAAAAAAGCGACTGCCTCGAAAGAGGCCAAGTCAGCGAAGAAGCCAAGTAACTTTCCAGCCCGAAAATCCTTTTTTAATTAAATTTTGTGTACATTTTGCAGTTTTTAGGTTTGAGGAGCGGAGCTACGAAGACAGTTAGTCTTTCCGCCTTTTCCCCGCCGCCCCGAGGAGGGAGCAGCATGTGACGAAAGGCAAACTCATATGATACGATGGGTGGGTGGAACGGGGTTGGTTGCCAGGGGGATTTGAGTTGACGGAGTAACCAACCAAAGACAAAGTTTCCACTGGCGACATTCTGGCTCGTACTCGTACCCCGTTCCATGGCTCCCCTCTTTTTTAGCCAAGTTAATCCAATTAGTTGTTTGAGAATGTAGTTTGCACTTTGATTTTGAGCCACGACATCTGCGTCTCGCCAGTCCCGCCTGTGGCTGCAACGGCAAGGATTTTGGCCTTCCAAGGAAGTTCTGGCGATAGTCGGGAGTGTCCGGAGATGGATGAGTATTGATATTGATAGCTCCAGAGCTCAGGCATTATGGATGAGGTTGCTGGCTGGCTGGCACATGGCCAGACGGAGAGAAAGAGAGGGAGCGATGGGTTAGAGGATTGTTTGTGGTTTGTGGGAAATATATTCTTGCTAATGAAATTAAGTTCCAAATGGAAGTTCTTCTTTAAAAGCATCGAAATCGGTTTTCGTCACGCTTTGGCACTGATTGTGATTACTGATAAGAAAATCACTCTCTCTCTCTCTCTCTCTCTCTCTCTCTCTCTCTCTGATCTGCGCTCTCTGCGCTGTTTTAACCGTAGTCTCCGCTCGCATTAAGCTGTCGCTCTATATTGCACTGCATAGTATTTGGTCTCTCTTTATGGCTCTGCAGTGATCTATCTCTCTCTATATGACTGTCTTGAAGTTGTCTTTACCTATTGCTGTCCTCTTTCTGCGTGTACATTTACAGCCTCAGCTTATCTGCTGCTGGCAGCTAGCAAGCCCTAGATCCAAATGCACCCTTCCCAGACGCCAGCAGGTAGCAAAGCCACGCAGGTAGCAGCGAGCATTTTACAGTTAGGTGCTTAGAACTGCGCGCTTTGCCATGCCAGATCGCTCTCTTTCTACATGTGTTTGTTTATGCATGGCTCTCCTCGGGCACTACGCTCTACATTTTCATCCTTTGCTTAATCGCTGCCGACAGCTCTAGCTTTTTCGAGCACCCTGCTCCCTCAACTGCGGGGAATATTCATTGCCGTGCTTATCTCTCAATGTTTTAGTTAGGGCATTGCTGGGTTCGCTCTGGCGTAACGCATTGTCTTATCTGCAGGCAGATGCTGTACGGGTTGGACACACTGTACACGTACGGTTGTGCCTCTCCTCGCCCCCGCTATCGTCAACAAATTTATGGGCATGACATGCATTTTTATGACATGAAATGTTCAGAGCTACGCTCCCAGAGCTCAAAGCTTTTTGAAATGTTATTTAAAACAAAACCAAAACGAAAACCGATGGATGGCACAGCGCAGGAGAGAAGGAAAGAGAGAGTGAGAGTGGAGTGGAGTGGAGAAGAGATACGCTTGTAATACACGTACAATGTTGATGCTGGCGCTGTCTAACCCCCAGGCATCCGAGGGCGTGCTTTCAGTTGAGTTTTTGCAGCAGCCACAGCCGAAACTGTGTGACACTTTGCGTCCAACTCGTCTGTCCAGCGTCCGTCTGTCCGAGCCTCCGGTATATCCGTTGAACGAACCCCACGCACACACACAAAGTGCCACACAGAACCCCACTCAACGCCAGCACTCGTCGGACGGAAGTAAAATTAATTACAAAAAATATTTTCTGTTCATAATTTCATTTTGTGTGTGCGTTTTCTCTCTCTCTGCAGGCTGCCACAGCGGCAATAGCATCAGAGGCGGCACCCGCAGCATCGGTGGTGTCATCCACGCCTACAGCCTCCGCCTCCGCCACCGCCACAGCCACCTCCACAGCAGTGGCATTATCCGGCGCCCCTACAGCAGCCACGACGGAAATTGAACAACTGCAACAGGCATTAATCGAGAAACAGTCACAGCTTTACGCCCTGGAATCCGCCTGTCTGCGGGAGACGGAACGTCAGGTGGAGCTCGAGGACAGCGTGATAGCGTGGCAGGATAAATACGATCGCCTCTACGAGTCCCACAAGCGCGTCCAGAAGGTGAATCAGAGTCTCGAGGACAAGATGCTGAAGCTGGTGGACAGGAATGCCAACGAACGGGCCCAGCTGACGAGTGACGTGGCCACGCTGAGTGTGCGCCTGGCCCAAGCGAATTTCAACATTGCCAAGCTGCAGCGGGAAATCGTGAGTAGCATTTCAGTTAAATATTTGACAGTTAAGATTAATATTTAAGATGCAAGATGTGGGAACGTAGTCCAGAACAAGTGACGTAGGTTCTTGGTTTCCCTTAGCTTTGAATTTCTCATAAATAGTAAATTTTGGGAACGGTTAGACTCAAAAAGAGTTTCCAACGAGAGTCTAAAGAATTCATAAAATAACCAAAAATAGCTTTCCTTTAATTAAACTCGCTTAAAACTTAAACAAAACTTTCGCTGTTCTGTTTCTTCAATCGTAAGTTTGTCAATTCAACTTTCCCGAGAAGCTTTGTATATCGGTCGAGCTTAACTCAGTTTTTGGACTTCCTGTGGTGTCCTTTGGGAAGCCTAATGGCTCTCAGAGATTTCCTTCTTTTGGGATTCATATTTCCGCATTAAAAAACACACACAAAAGACACCTTGGACCCTTGGTTCATTCTTTGACAATTTCGCTCGAAGACCAAACCCGAAAAGAGCTTAAAGTGGATTTCCGATTTAGTCAAGAGAGTACAGTACCATCTGCCAGTTCGCCAGTTAAAGTCCCATCTTTAGTTTCCACTGCCCCTCTGTACCCCTCTGCTGCCCACTAATTGGCCACCAAGTTCTAAGAGGAAACACAAACAAACTTGAGACAGAGTCCAAGGGGGGGTCCTTGAGTCCTGTTTCTGGGACTTGGGTTTTGGTTACATTTTTTTTTTGGGTGCGGACTTTAAGTCTAAACAAATGACAGGCGGCAAAGCGTTAAAAACTCTGGAGCTGCACTTCTACTTAGGACAACTTTGCGCCCACTCTCCCACTGTGCCCTCTTTCCTCTGCGTTTTGGTAGTGTGGAAAACTAGAAAACTTTTCCAATTCAGTTTGTTTTTGCCGTGCTGTGAAAAATACTGAATATCTGCTCGGCAAAAAAAGTTTTCAATTAACGCAAAACAGCTAAAATGCACTTGAGAGAGAGAGAGTGCCCAAAGAGTGGGAAAAACTATGAAAGGAAGAGAGGGAGTTTGGGAGAAACAAGTGGCGGGGAAGCGAAGAGCTAAAGAGTGGGGGAAAACTATGATAGAAAGTCTGGCAGAAACGATGACGGCAAGACCAAGGAAAGTGCAATGGAACGCAGGAGCAAGTGCGCAAGGGGGGTAGAAACCTTTTAACGTAGGTGTCCTGCGGGTGTCCTAGGTGTCTCGGCCATGTTCCGAACAATTAGTGAGACATTGGCCAAAGGAGAATGTCGAGCAGCAGACGACCGACCGACCGACCGACCGACGACCAGCAGAAAATGTGGTGAAAAACGTTTTGCCCCAGTTGGGTGGGGGTTTGTGGGGTGGCTGTTGCTGCTGCTGGTGCACTTGCAGTGCCGCTTTATTAACTTGTTTTTTTCCCACCACCCTCTTTTGTACTTTTTTTGTCCTCTCTGTTTCTGTTTTTTTTTTGTTGCTTTTCTGTTGCGTCGAGTGTTTGCGCAAATTAATACTTAAAAAGCATTTCCACCTCTTCACAAGTTGCGCAGTTTTCTGTTACGTTACGCTTGACTTTGCTTTTGTTTTTTACTGTGCAGCATTTTGTTGCAAGTATATTCTGAAGGAGGCGCCTCCAAGTATGCAATACTTTTCAAGCGGTTTCGGGCCGAGTGTGTGTGTTCTTGAAGCGTTTTCGGGTATGGACAAGTGGCAGGGAAGCTTTGAAGGGTGGGGCAGTCTCTGTTGTATGATATACTTGAGGTGCTTATAGATAGGGCTTCCATTTTATATCTGCTTAAGTTTTTAGCTCAAATTGGCGGCAGCCAAGTGTCTAATAATTGTTTGCTGTATTTATGTATTGTCCTTTCTTTGACTTTATCTTTTTAACCAATACTTGCCACGAAAAGTCTACTTTGAATGGCAGAAAAACAAAGTGACAGCTGGAAAAGAAGGCACAACAACGATGTCAATAACCTTTTTTGCCAGTTTTTGTGCACTTTTTGTTCTTCGTACTTTTTGTTGTTGTTATCTGTTTTTTCCTCTCTCTGCTTCTGCCCCATTCTGTGCTCTGATAAAAAATCAGCACTTGGTCATGGACTGTCGCAGCGTCACGTGCGCTGACTGGCGGATCTCTCCTGATGCCATTTACCTTCTGGCGTAGCCACTACGTAGCTTCTCTATCTCTCTGCCCCCCTTCTCCGCGTTCTCTTCGTATCTGTTTTGGCCATGGTTCGTTAATCTGACAGTGGCTTTTTGCATGATAGCTCGGCATTTCCGTTGCAAAACACTTAGTCGCATACTCGTCCGCTGCTTCAGCTTTTAGCTTTTCCTCTTCTTTCTTCTTTCTCCTCCACTCTTACATTCTTTCTCTGTCCACCCCGCCGTGTGTGAGTGTCCTGTAATCCTCCTCTGGGCCATCGTCCTTCATTGTTGTCTGCTATTATTGTTTACCATTCTAACCGAAACAGGAGCGAGCAGGCGGTGACAATGATGGAAGAAGAGTGGGAATGGCAGGCAGTGCACAGATGATGTCGACAGAGGAGGTGCTGGAGCAGTCATCGGGGAGAAGAATGATGGAAAAGGTGGAAGAGCATCAGCAGGCGGCGTTGCAGAAGAGGATGAGTAGGAATTTCGAACAGCAGGCCCTGCATAAGAGAATGATGGAGGCGAAAGAGCAGCAGTTCGGAAAAAAATGATATATTTGGCTGCCGAAGTGTTTGATACCCTTGATGTTGCAACTTTTGTGTGTGTTTCAAATTTCACTGAGTTATGTAAGAACATAAGATAGAACATTTTAAAATTGTAGGCCTACAAAAATTAATAACTTGCATACCAAATACTTGTATATATTCCTCATAGATCGGAGTGCTTACGAGCTGCAAATGATTGCAAATCTGCATACCCTTTATCTCTCCCTCTCCCTCTCTGCAAAAGGTATTCGCCCGCTGCATATTACAGTTGTTTCCGTTTAAGCTTTCGTTTCATTCTGCTTTCTCTCTGCACACACATTCTCTCTATTTTCCTTCCTGCCCCCCTTTCATCTCTCTTTATACCTCCACCCCTTCTTTCCACGCTGTCGCCGTTTGGGTTCGAATATTTAAAATCGCCTTCCAGGCGGCAGACAGGCACATAACGGCACAAAACAACAGCAGCAAAATCGTCGCTCTGCCACGCCCCCCTTTTGTAATTCCCACATGCATTAAATGGCAAAGTAACGGTAAATATGCTCACGGCTCTGGGCTCTCTGCATCGGTCTCGTCCTCTGCCTCTGCCTCCCCCGCTGTCTGTGCTGCGCTGCAATTGGAGCAGATAAAATGCAGTGAAGAGCCGCGACGACGGGGCACACACACAGTTCACGTGGCAAGCAATGAAATGATTCCCAATTTTCGCCCCTCCATACATACATCATTCCCACACTCCGACACTCCTTCCTATGGCATCCCCTGCCCACTGGCAGCCACTCAATTCTTTCCTCTACCTTCTGGCATCCCACCGCTGGCAATCCGCCTGTAAAACAAGGAAAGTCCCCGTTTGGTAATGACGCGTTTGCGGCTTGCCTCCTGGTCTGCCTTATGTTCCACTCCTGTTCTGCCATGTCCTCGTCCTGTTCTGGCGTTCTGTTCTGTCCTCCCGTGCTGCTCTACACCTGTCTGCTACAGTCCTGCTCTCATCCGCTACTATAGACCCCATGGCGAACGTGTGTGTAATTAATGTTTTCCACCCGGCAAACACTGAGAGAAATATGAGAAACGAAAAAGGGGAAGTGAGCGTATCCCAAAGGAACTATTCCGCTTTTAGTTCCCACAGTTTCATCCTCTCTTGTGTGTATTTTCTGTCCGTGCATTGCCATGGCATATTCATTGCCGTTTAGCCTTTCCCCCTGCTGCATGTTCCATTTTGTAGTCGGAACAGACACAGACCCAGGGCACAGGATGCAGGACACAGGCCAACACGGTGGTGCAACATGGCGTATAAGTGATTGCATTGTAGGCCTTGTTCATAAGCTGATAAGCAGGAAACTTCGGGCTCCTTCCAAGAAAACGTCTATGCGTGTCTATTTATCTCCCTTGGAGCATCTCCACCCGCAGACTCTCTTTCTCTACTTCCCTGTGTGCGTGGGCTTAATTCCTTAAAAGTTATTTACATATTTGCCTAATGTGGCATGCCCCCTAAGCACTCAGACAGTGCTCAGCGGCTTACGTGGGATGACTGGGTGGCGCTGTGGCTGTGTGGCTCTGTGGCTTTGTGTGTGCCTCCCAAGAAGCTGAGCAGCCACTCGCCTAGTGGGGTAGGTCCTGCCCCAATGGTAGAGGCTAAGAGACCTTTCGGCCACTGATGGAATTGCTTTTTGGCCTCCCGAAACACAAGCTGGCTGTTCAGGCTGTTCTCTGGTTTGACCGACAATAAGCTGGAATCAAATAATACCAAATTCCAGAATAATTAAATTATCAAATGGTTAAAGAGAGGCAGAGTAGAAAATTAGGGATTATTTGACAAAGAGTAAGTTAATTGTTGCTGGCGGAATGCTTAGGAATGGTTTTTAGGTTGGGAATTTGGTTTATTTGGCTACAGGTAAATCGGATTTAAGAGTATAAAATGTTTCCGGGATTTAAAATCACTGAAAATGCCTCTTTAAATGGCGAGCCATTTATCAATCATTTATTCTCCACTTATTGATTTTATTTTATGCATATTTCCCTTATCACGTATCCGCTATCCATTAATTATTTTGATAAAAATTGCAATTTAAATTTCTATAAGCCACAGCATGTATGTGTCTGTAATTTCTCTGCTTTCGAAACCCATTTGATCCCTGGAAACGTATAACAAAAAAAAAAAACGCAAAGGATGAGGCGAATATCCGGCATTCAATCATCGTGCATCGCGAGAAGGGTTGAGGGGGGCCCATTGGCATTCTATAAATCCCCCGCGTAAATCCCATAACTATAACGCTATCTCTTGGGCACGGAACGCGTGCAATGTTGAACAACAAAAGCGGACTGAAACAATTTGAATTCCATTCCTTGCCCGAGAGACG